TTTACACTGAATGTAATAATTGCGTAATTTTTGTGCAATTTTTGCATAATATTACACTATTTATGTAAGTTTATGGCAGGCCCCATAATATTATGTAAATTTATGTCAGAAAAAATTTCCTGATGTAATCAAAGTTTGCTATCATTATTAGAATTCAGCATATTAAAATTCTACATCAAATAATTTCTTGATTTCCCTTTTCATTGATCTCCACTGCTTAGACATTGCCTGATTTTTTTTTAATAGACCTAATCTGTAAAGTTCCTTGGTGTTTATTCGTTTTCCAAGGCAATGCTTTAATAAAATGGTTTTATCTTTTTTGGTCCATTTCATTGAACTTGTACAATGATGGCTATCTAGCACAATTAGATCATCATCACTTTGTTGATCCTGATCTTGTTGTGATGAACTACTTTCTTGAGTAGTAGTAGTAATTTCCACCTCTTTTTCTCCCTTTTCCACTTCCACTTCTATAATTTCCACATTCACATCTTCTCCCTCTTCCACATTCACATCTTCTTCCTCTTCATCACAATTTTCCTTGAGCATATTTTTTAAAAAGTTAGATTATGATGTAACAAACTTTTGTTACTAATAATAAAACAATAGAAATACCTTATATATTAGTTGAAACATTTTAAAAAGTTCCTCTGGTTTTAGTTGTATTGACATTAGCACCTTTTTGTATAAGTCTTTTAATTCACTAACTAAATGATCATCATCACCATCATCACTATTCTCAATCTTTAATTTTTTTTCATGGCTTGTACTAAATAAATAAAAATACAAAAAATAAAATCAATACTTTTATAGGAAAGGTCTTGGATTTCTTTCTGCTAACAATACTTACCCATGCTTATTCTCTTCTTGTTCTCTCTTTCTTCTTCTTTGTGGATCCTTCCTTGTGCCATTTTCATCTTCTTTTTGCTTGCTTTTTCTATTTTCTTGATTATACATTTTGGATTTTTTAAAGATAGTGCAAGCATGCAATCCAAGTTACCTATTTATAGGTGGTTCTAATTTCAACACACAGCTAGGACTTACTTTGCCTACTGACTTATGGTAAATACTTCTTTTATCTTATGACACACAGTCTGGGATCCCTAGGTTGTTATCTGTCTTATTCCAAAGATGTCCTTTGAAATATATCTCAATAATTAAGGTTCTAGATTCTTGCTGTAGTCAGCAAAGGCTTTTCTCTGCAAGTTTATTAATCAGTGATTAATTGATTATTGATCTAGAGGTCAAGATTTATTTAAGGTAAATATGTTATGTGTTTTATTTAGCAATAATATTATTATTACAATATTATTTAGAGTGTTAAGGATTTATTAATTATTATGTTAATAATTATCAAGATAATGATTCTAGCTTGGTCTAAAACCAAGTGTATTTATACCTCTTGGGGTATTACAAATAATGTGATTTGTATAACTATTTTAATTCTAAATTTACAACATTGTAACATTTCACTAGGTAAATATTTAAATCATATGAGTATTACAAAATTATGATTAACAATTAAAAGTAAATATTTTTATCAAATGAATAAATTAATAAATATAAATATAGAAATATGAATATAAATGATTTTAACGTAACGTTACACTACACATGGCGCAGCCATCAGAAGAGATATGTTCGGTGATCACGTGATTGCAACTGTAAGTTAAAAAGTTTCAGTTAATCAGCAAAGTGGGATTTCTCTATTGGTACTCATTATAGATGGGCGTCTATTTGTGGTTGTCTAAAGTCAAAATAGTATTTAGACAAAATGTCTAAATGTCTAAATTAATATAATAGTAATGATTTGCTTTAAGCACAGCTAAAAGTCACGTGTATATACACAAAATCCACAAAGTTCAGTAAATTATCCAATAAAAATTCAATTTCAGCATTTCAGACAATTTATATTTTAGACATTGTCTAAATAATTTAGTTTAGACACCCATCTATAGTCCTCATTCTACTATCTCTCAACCTTTCCCTCCTTAAAATAGCTCCAAATGCAAGTTTTTTGAAAATTTTTAATTTGTTTTCAACATCACAAAATTATCAATAACAATTGATACAACATGTGACTTCTGCAGTAAGTTGGTTTCAATTGATCAACAAAAACTAGGACCTCAAGCCAGTCCACATTTTACTATTGTGAGATAGTAAATCTTGAACCTACCAATTGTCCCAATTAGAGTTGATCAATTAGAACAAACTTACTATGGAAGTCATGTGATGCATTAAATATTACATCATGATCAATGATCATCTTTCCATATGTGATTGTAATGGTTGTGTCACATATCATGTAATGTTATATTGTAGATATTTATATTCATATTCTTCTTATGTACTTATGTATTATTACTCATGATTATACATGCAGCCCAAATTGGTTTGGTGATTTCAATGGTCAAAATTATTCCAATTTTGATGGTAGAAAGTAGAAATTAATTATGGCACTCACTATTAAAAACATAAGTGTAACACCCCTTTACTCCATGTGTAACCCCTTTTATGACAGTGTTAAAATACTGGCTGCATGTATAGTTTATAACTTTGCGAAGCAAATAGCTAGAAAAAAATTAAGTGTTTTTAATTAACAAGGACCTTGCCTATAATGTAACTATGCTATTTTTTTTTGATTTTTTAAATTTTGCATTAGTAGACATCTAGAATTTATGATGAAAATTGCATTTTCAATATGAAAGTACATTAATATTGATCAATATGGCTCTGTTGCATTGTAGAAGCTCAAAACACTTTTCAGGATATTCATGAATATTCATTAAGGGGGTTACACTTATCAAAAATCCATATGTGTCAATCACTTGATTTTGATAAGTGTAACCCCCTTAATGAATATGATGATTGTGATCACTAATGGATGAGTTATAACAGTTTATGAAAATGATTGACAAAAAATCTCTTATTATTATTATTATTATTACAGTCAGGGATAGATGGAATACTAAATACCGTAATGATCGATGGTATGAAAAATTCTAGAAGAAATTCTGATTGGCTAAATTCAACCAGGGATA